GTCGCACCATGTGAACGAAATGTCTCCTCTTGTGAGTCGTGTTAACGGCGAGGCTATGTGTGAGAAATTGGCAATAAACATTCGGTAGTATGCGCTTAGGCCAAGGAAACGCCCGACTGCTTTCTTATTCGTTGGCACCAGAAATTTTCTGACGGCCCCAATCTTATCGGGATCACGTCGAACACCTTCATGGCTCACCACACCGCCTAAAAATTGGAGCTCATTGAAACTAAAATGACACTTCTCGGGTTTCAGTGTCAGGCCGGCAAACCTTACTGCCCTGAATACCGATAGCAGCCTGCTCAGGTGTTCCTCAAATGCTTTTCAAAAAAATAACATCATCCAGATAGACCAGACATGTCTGCCACTTAAGGCCTGACAGAACGGTACCCATTAGTCTCTGAAATGTTGCGGGGGCTGAGCACAATCCGAAGGGCAAGACTCTAAATTCATAAAGCCCTTCAGGCGTTACAAAAACCTTGTTTTCTCTATCTTGGTCGTCGACCTCAATATGCCAATACCCACTTTTGAGGTCCATTGACGAGAAGTAGCGTGCCTACCTCAGCCTGTCGAGTGAATCATCGATGCGCGGTAATGGGTACACGTCTTTGTTTGTCACATGGTTCACCTTGCGGTAGTCAACACAAAATCGCAAGCTTCCGTCTTTCTTTTTAACCAGCACTACCGGTGATGCCCAAGGGCTTCTTGAAGGCTGGATGACGTCATCATCGAGCATTTTCTTCACATGTTCCTGGATTGCTTCATGCTCTCTCGGTGCTACGCAGTATGGGTACTGTCGTATTGGCCTTGCCGTCTCCTACGTTATTATTCGGTGCTTTGTCAGTGGCGTTTGACTGACCCTCGAGGTCGATAAAAAACAGTCTTTGAACTGGTGAATAAGATCTACTAGATGCTGTCTCTGCACTGGTGATAAATCCGTGCTCACGTCAATGGGTGGTGGGGCTGACATGGCTTGCGGCTCATCCTGTTGTACTACACAGCACTCGCGGATTTCGGTGATCTCGTCGAAGTAGGCAATCTGTAGTGCCTTCCGTAATGTGTCGTCGCTCGTTGGTAAAATTCGTCAACAGAGCCTCAGCTTCACCGCACACAACATCAACGATACTTCTGGCGATTGCAACACTGCGAGAGAGTAGAAGGGTCAATACTTGTTCAGCGATTTCTTCTCCAGTATGCTGCGCACTGCACGTGACAGAAACAAGGCGACACGATAACGGAGGTACGGTTACATCGTCAATGACTCGCAGGAATTTTCGGTGTAGCACTGCGCTTTAATCCACTGAAAAGGTCAGTACCACATCCGGTATATTAATGATGGCACCATATTCACGAAAGAAATCCATCCCTATGATTGCCTGTTTGCAACACTCGGAAAGAATAGCGTAAGTTGCGACGAAAGATGCGTCCCCTATCTTCATTCTTGCGGTGCACTTTCCAGGAAGTGTGAGTAGCTGCCCTCAACCTCCTCTAATCTGCGGTCCTGTCCATTCCATTCTAACCTGCCTGAGTTCGTCTGCGAGACTCTCACTCGTTATTGAGAAGTCTGCGCCAGTGTCGACCAATGCCATGACGTCATGTCCTTCAATCACAATGGGAACATCAGCAGTAACAACTCCATCTTTCGTCGAATCATTGAAAATGTGTGTCTCTTCGTTCGGCAGTATTGGGAGATTTCCAGCACTTCGACAATTCGTAACCTTCTGCCCTGAGGTCGCTGCTTTTAGTTTCCCCGGTGTGGACTAGGAGATCTCCCTCTTGGCATGTCAGTGGTGGTCCGTCTAGAGGATGGAGAATAACGTCCAGTTGAGGGTGAGCGTGACCGAAACCCAGGAGAAACATCCCGCTGGGTCATGACACTCGTGTCAGCGTCAGGTGTTTTGTTGAAATGCCGCCGAGGAATAGTGGAAGGAAACCCTTGGTACCCTGCGACGTGCTACGGGCAATACCGAACGATGTGGCCTGCTTCCCCACAATGAAAGCACAGGGGCCTATGGTAAGGCGTACGCCAGATGTCAGTTTTGCGAAGTGGTTGCCACCTCGGCGTAGAAGTTTCTCTGTAGTACCAAGGCACTGTCGGTGGATGTTGCTGGTGGTACTGATGCGGTGTCAGCATGTTCGCTGGCTGTCGGCGGACTATGTCTGCATAGCTTGCCCTGGGGGTGCTCGTGCTCACCTCACGAAGCGAGAGCACTTGCCTGATCTCCTGACGCACAACTTCTGTAACTGAGGCAATTGCGCAGTCATTCAGTTTGGCGATGAGCTTCTTGACCTCTTCTTGTATGATTTCTCGTATCAGTTGGCGCAAAGTACCTTCGTCGCGTGTCATTGCTGTGGTCGTGGCTGCCGCGCTGATTGGCGCACTGTGGGTTGTGCGGTCATACTGCAGGCAGCGTAGATGCAGTGCGCGTTCAATGGATGTCACCTCTTTGGTGAATTCATCAACACTTGTAGGCGGGTTTTGTACGAAACCAGCGAACAGCTGCGCTTTAACGCCCCGCAAAAGTAGCTAACCTTATTGGCTTCGGGCATATTAAGATCTTCCCGACGAAACAGTCGCGCCATGTCCTCAACAAACATCGTAACGGATTCATTTGGTTTCTGAATCCGTGACTCGAGGAAACGCTGTGCGATTTCTCGTCTTTAAGTACTCGCGAACGTATCGTGAAACTTCTGTGGGAACTCATCCCAAAACAACCACATGCGATTCGTAAACCATGTTTGGGCTCCGTCTTGAAGCAGAAAATACACGTAGCCCAACTTCGGTGTGGTGTTCCACCTGTTAACATTTGCTGTGTGCTCGAATTCCTCGAGCCAGTCATTTGCGTCCTCATATGTGTTGCCGTGGAATTCAACCGGAAGTCGAGAGTTCAAAACAGTCACCTGTGTCGTGCTTGGGCTGGACATGTTGGGGCCAGTGCTTCCAGGCGCCGTCATGCTTTCTGGCACAGTCACGCTTTTCGGCAATGAACCAAACTCAGGGCTGAGGCCCAACAGGCGCAGCTGCTGCGGTGAACGGGGGTGTCGATGTGCGGAAGTCTTTCTGGACTGGATGCGGGGCTGCTGTCAAGCATCCCGAACATGTACCAAGCGCCTCAACCAGTGCCACAATGCAGAAACAGCAGCAGTTGAATACCGGACAACTCACTTCAATTGTACCAGAACACAGGCAAACTGATCCGATGAGAACCTCGTCTTTCTCTATCGCTGCACGTGCTCTTCGTTGTTCTCTTGATGCTGCATATTCAATGGGGCAATATTTCTTCGCAGTGAAGAACATGGTATCTTGGGAAGTTTCAATGTCTAGGGGGAAAAACAAAGAGGATGCCATGATGCATACCCTTTTCAGGGCACGATCGGTTACAGGAGAGTTCTGAGGTCCCATGAAAAAATGGCTGCTTCGACAGCGGCGCCTACCACCCACCACGGAGCCCAACAAGGGGACGCGGCAGATCTTGTGAACAAGTCTGCCCTACGCCAGCAGTACGCCATTGCTATAACCGAATATGGTTCACCCTAGGTAGGTTAGCCACAGAAGGTTAACACTACCCGCCAGGAAACAATGAAGTAAATAGAAAAAGAGAAGAAGACAGGACAGATTCAAAGAGGAGAAAAAGACGCAGATGTAAGAAGAGAGAGACAGGAAAAGGCAACTGCCGATTTCATGCTCGGCTGACCCACCCATGGGTGCAGTCTACGTGAAGCCGGGGCCAAAGGGATGTGATGCCTCTGCCGGGGGGCTTCAAAGGTCCAATCACCCGGCGTGAGCTCAACTGCCAGGATCCCCTTTTTTCCGGACACGGCAAAACCACGCACGGCTAGGCGTGGGAGGGAGTCGAAACCCCCCCGTTAGCTCGGGTCCGTGGTGTAGGTACACACCAAACGCCTGCTTTGACAGACGCCCCTGCGGGGGCTCTCTTGCCAGGAACATGCTGAAGCCAAAGTACAAATGTTTAGCAAGCTGCGTGCGAAATTGATTGACTCGCTGCAAGGCGCACACGTGTGCAGGCGCGCATCACCGATTACTTCACTTAATAACGGATGTCCTGTGATTTGTGAACAAATGTAAGTCTTTTGAAACTTCCCCCTCATGTGTTAGCTCAATGCACAAGCACCACTGCATGGAGAGCCCTTCGTTTAGCTTTCATTAATTCGAACAAATTTTTGGGCCCCTTTGAGTTCGAATTATCAATATTTGACTGTACTAGTATTTATAGCAAAATAAAATCAAACCGGTAAAGCTTAGCACCACATTTCAGAAGTAGCCACAGTCCGACATAACTGTTGCCAAATAAGTATGAATGACTGTTGCCATAATTATTGTTGTAACTGTTGCCTTAATTGGTATGAGATAAAAGCGATCCTGCTGATTGTCACATTTCACCACACTAGCCTGCAAGCTTAGCTTAAAACAAAAAACTGCTGAATATGCCAGCTATTGTTGCACAAATGAAGCTGATCATTCTGCACACCAGTAGGGATGACGATATACAGATTCTTCTCAATTTCTTTTTTAGGACTTACGAGTTGGTCAAACAGTAAAAGTTCATTATTTTCTCAGAGCCATTTTGGAGCAGGTTTGGAGCAGTTACTTACAAAAACCCTTCTTTGGAGTGACACGGAGCGTCATTTTTCTACTGGAGCAGCTCTTTCATCATTGCACATTAGCACGGTATAAGCATGCTTGGATGCACTTGTTAAAGAATGATGAAATACGTCCCTTGAAAATACGCATTGAGACACACTGCTTTTCATGCATGAAACAGTGATGAATAAATATTGTATTTGTCGTCACGCCCTATTCCAGAGAACCACGGAACCGCGATAAGCAAACGCACCTGTCCAGCAACTCAAGTAACCTCAGAGCATAACTATAAATTCTGGATTGAGTCTGCAGGCTTTGTTCCGATTTCCATGTGTATATTCACCTGGTGCCCCACCTGATGTCGGATAAGGCATTTTCAAAGACATTAAGAAAAGGAGAATAGGTCGAACATCATGCTTTAATGGTTTCATACTGTCCCACCGCTAGCTTGCATGGGTGATATTGTAGAATAGCGTCCCTGGAGATAGTATAAAGCACAGATAATTACGCCCCAGTTTCAGACGCTGTGTTTCAGGCTGCTACATATCTGTCCAGCCTAGCTTGAAACTCCTTAAATTTGGAAATCAGGCTCTCTACAGCATTATCTCTTGCAGCCATTGACTGAAGATCAACGAGGTAGCCCGGGATGTCATTGATGCACCTGTTGGCCAGCCGCCGCTTGTCTGTGCAGTGGCAACCAATGAGGAACAGTTCAATGAGACGCCCCATGGCGTGCAGCAAGTGAAGAGAACGCTCGGTGAACGCAGGGTCCTTGCCGCGATAGAGGTCGTTGTATGTGTCCCTGAGCCTTGTAAGGGACACATTGGCGCCAAGCAGTGGCTCGAGAATCCAACCGGGCTCAAAACCATGTTTGCTTCCACGCAGTTCCAGAAACTTGACCAGGAAAGCAAGTGGAAAGAACTTCTCAGACTGGGCATACTCTTGAGCCAGAGACTCCAGTCGCTGAGACATCTGGTCTGAGCGAACATTGTTAAGAAACTCGCGCTCAAGGAGAGACTGCCACAAGCTCTCAACTAGGAGGGGCTTGTCGTAGCCCGAGGAGCGCACAATAGCTAACTTGCACTCGGCCAGGTCGTAGGGATCGGCATAGTCCCCGTACAGGTGAGTGACGTCCACCAGCTCTGCGTCAAGACGGGCCGCCAGCTCAGCTGCCATTGGCAGGTCGGACCTCTGTGTCAGCGCATCTTGCACCTTCGCCTGCAAGCGAGCCACTTCGAGCTTCTCTTCAAGCTGATACAAGAAGTTCCCTTCATTCGTCACCTGCAAAGGATGCAACATTCAGTGGCACCGCAACAAAATATCAGGCTATTAGGCTTATGCATGCCAAATAGTATTTTATGGTGAATCAATTATTGCCAATTGAGACTTCCTTCATGCAAAAGGCCACAAACGCATGTTTGCACTGCAACCTTTGGCAATGAACTCAAGAAACTGTACTGTTAGAAAGCCTACTTGACGATAAGGCACCGAGCATTCCTAGATTACATTCTAGGGACTGAAGTAGCATTTCAAAGAATCTTTCGGTGGCAGCACACTCTTGACTGTGCAGAAAGTGCCTATAGGACGGGTGCGCTAATTCATAATGAGTGTCCTTCAGTAGGCAGAAATTGTAGCAGGAGAACGTGCTGAGCGCATCAAAACCCAGCTTATGTTGCAGCACCAACGTTTATTTCCTTCCAGTTATACATGCCATGTTCCAGGAATCTTGAGTTCGAGAGTGTTTAGAAACTAGGGGGTGGGGTGTTCAGTGCCGGTTTACCTGCCTTTTCCTTTTCACCCACGCCCACAACGAAAGAAAAAAGAAAGAGAGAAAGTGACAAGGGGGCTCCCGAAGAGCCCAATAAGCATAAAAAAATAGAGTTGCGATCTTATAACTGGGCTTATAAACAACGTAGGTGTGTGTGTATAGACTGGCATATATATATGTGACGCATTAACAAGCTGATTCTAGGAGAAGCTGACAAAGAGGAAGTGCGCATGCATTAGAATAAACGCATGGCACCAGGACAACGACGTGTCTCCATTTTGTAGCGTCACACAAGTCGACAGGATCGACCTCATCAACGTGCCATGGCTAAGCCAAAGCCTCCGCTCAACATACAGAAGTTAAAGGGAACACCAGAAGACGTCCCCATCGACAAGTGGCTTCTTCTTTTTGACATGAAGGCAGCCGAGGCGTCAAGGACTCACCGCGATCGGGTCAGTCACTTCAGCGAATACATTGAAGGGGAAGCGTTCAAGTGGTACCTGACAGAGATTTTCGGCAACGGCGAGACAACTTGGAACGATATCAAGCGCGACATGCAAGCCCGCTTTGCTACGACTGACGGAGATGCCTTCCGTCTCTTCATTCACTACCGACTGAAAGGAGGGCAGACCATCAAGGACTACTACGACGAGAAAAAGCGACTGGGTTCCTTGGCTGACCTGAAAGAGTGCTACATCATTTCTGGACTGACTGATGGTGTTCCTCCTGATGTGGAACTGGCGCTCGCCGAACTGTTTTTCAACTCGTCATTAGAGTGGCTCACCGCTGCTCAACGGGTCAAGACATCTTTAAAACGGGTGAGAGGAGTTTCCTTTACTCGTAACGCTAGTATCGCATCAAGAGCTCCACGTCTCTTCAGCAGACCGCCGCAACCAACAATAACTCCTCAACCGCGTGCCCCGCAAAACGAATGCAGATACTGCTCAGCTGCTGGTTTCCCACAACAGTTTCACTGACACAACGAATGTCCGCGCCGCGGCAATGTGTCCGCTATTGGTACTGAACGGGGAAACGAGGAGGGCGACCCAGAGTTTCATTATTACACTTCAGTGCTCTCATCAACGGAAAGCCAGTAAATACAATTCTCGATACAGGAGCAACAATTACTTGTATCAGCGAGGATGTGTACAAACAGCTAAAACTTCAGTTGATGAGAGACTCCAGCATCATAGCCCAGCAAGTTGCATCAAGCATTCGAACTTTGGGTCGCGTAAACATTCAGTTACAAATTGGGAACGCCATAAAGAAACTTATGCACATGTGCTGCGAGGCATGAGAACGCAATTATTTCTTGGCCTAGACAGCGCTTCGTACTTCAATCTTTCTGTAAATCTTGAAAGCAAGTCAGCGACACAAGCACGTGAGAATATGAACCTTCCGCATCACAATGAAAAGAAAACCATTCAAGCCCCGCTGATGTGAACCCTGACTTCAGAAAACTTATCGGAGCATGCATGAGTCTGCGGTGCTCGATTCTCTTTTAAGCAAGTATGACGAGATATTTTCGAAATCTCAGACAGATATTGGGTGCATCACTACTGAGAAACATAGGATCGCACTTACCAATGCTGTCCCTATTCGTCGAGCACCATACCGATGTTCACAGGCAGACAAAGTGGAGATCAACAAACAAGTTGACGCTCTCCTCAAGCAAGGTGTTGTGAGTCCTTTATTATCGCACTATGCCGCACCTGTCATTTTAGCAGAAAAGAAAGGTGAAGGACGCACTCGTCTGTGTATTGACTACCGGAAACTCAATGCCATAACGGTACCCGATTTTCAACCAATTCCACCTATGTGTAGATGATATTCTTGACCACTTGGGAAAGGCGGAGTTTTTCACTATGTTGGACTTAACGTCGGGATACTGGCATGTCCAAATGCATCCTGACGATGTTTAGAAAACTGCATTTGTGACGCCTGATGGTCATTTTGAGTGGTTGGTAATGCTGTTTGAGTTGAAGAACGCTCCAGCTACATTTGAAAGAGCCATGAAATCAATAATAGTGAAACATCAGCTCACCAATGTTAGTAATTACTTTCACGATGTGGTCGTATACTCAGACACATTTAATGATCATATACGACACCTTGAGGTGCTATTGAAAGCTCTCAGAACCGAGAACGTAAAACTCAAATGAACAAAGTGCCAATTTGCATGCTGCAGCATTGAATACCTAGGCCACAAAATTTCACAAGGAACAGTAACACCTAGGCAAAGTAATGTGGCCGCCATACTCAAATTTCCGACACCAAAACGAGAAAAGTATCTCCAGCGTTTTCTGGGCACTGTAAACACCTACCATCAGTACATCCCCCACTTCAGCGATATCGCTCTTCCACTCACAAAACTACTCCACAAAGGCAGCAAGTGGGTGTGGACAGAAGCATGCGAGCAAGCCTTTCGCGAACTGAAGGAGCAGATAACTGAAGAACCGGTGCTTCACATATACCACCCTTCGAGACCATGTACTGTGTACTGTGACGCATCTGGCAAAGGCATCGGTGCAGTGCTGAAACTACCTGATGACAAAGGCAAAGAACATTCTGTTGCCTACTATTCCCGCAAACTACTTAAACAGGAGGTGAACTATGCTATTAAAGAAAGAGAGTGTCTTGCCATTGTAGATGCCGTTGATAATTGGCATTGCTACCTTCATGGAAAATCATTCACTGTTGTAACAGATCACTCTGCACTCCAAAGGCTGAAGAATGTTAAAAATCCTCAAGGTCGTCTCTTCCGGTGGTCTTTGAAACTGTCAATGTATGATGTGAACATCAAAAGGGCGCAAGTAATGTCGAAGCAGATGTGCTCTCCAGAGCCCCAATAATTATTAATCTTTTATCACACGACGACCTTCAGCGATGAAGCAGTGAGCGTCGAAAAGGAACGCATTCATTGAAAAATAACATCATCATCGTCAAAAGAAAAGGACTACGAAAAATATACGTGCCCCATGAACTACGCCCAACGATTCTGAAGAATGCACATCAACGTTTTGGGAATATTGGAGTGAAGAAGACGCTATCACTCCTGTCTCCGCAATATTATTGGCCGCATATGGTAATCGATGTTTCCACTTACATTCGGCATTGTGATACATGCCAGAGATGCAAAAAGACGAAAACAAAAAAGTTTGGGACGCTTGAATCACTGCCTCCAGCTGAAGAGCCTTTCGACCTCTTTGCAATAGACACCATAGGAGGATTTTCTGAATATGGCTTGTCAAAAAGGTTTATACACTTGGTTATTGATCATGCGACTCGCTACGTATGGGCGTTTGCTCATAAAAGTGAGAACAGCGACGCCTACATTTCATGCTTAAAAACAATTTTTTCTTCTGGAAAACCACAGAAGCTCCTTTCAGATCGTGGAACAGGATTTACTGCAGGAAAATTCAAGCAGTTTTTAAAACATAATCATATACACCAACTATTGACCTCATCTCATCATCCACGATGCAACGGCATGAACGAGCGGACAAACCAGACTATCGTAACGAGACTTAAATGTAAGATCAATGACGAACCACAGAAGTCTTCGACTAAGCTGCTTCCGGAGGTAATTGACGGATACAACAGAACACCCCGCAAAGTGACCGGCTACGCACCTTCCTTCCTGATGTATGGAATTCTATCTTATCCTACAGTAATGAAACAACGAGAAGAAACTGTCGTAGAAGCCCGAAAAACTTTAGTTACCAATTCTATCGCCTACCACAATAAGAACAAGGTCATTTATGATAGAAAATTTCTTCCGATTGAGTTCCAAGTCGGTGACTTTGTCCTTTACGAGACACCATGGCATCCCAACAACGGCAAACTGAGTTCGGTCATGGAAAGACCCTACAAGATTCTACGCAAGGTCTCAACAGTGAACTATGATATCAACCGCTCCGTGCTACTTTTAGGTAGAAACTCTGACATTGCGCATGTTAGCAAACTGCGGCGTTATATTGTACCTTCTGAACTGAGGTTTTCTCGAGGGGAGGGGGAAATGTGATGCATTAACAAGGTGATTCTAGGAGAAGCCGACGAAGAGAAAGTGCGCGTGCATGAGAATAAACGCATGGCACCTGGACAACGACGTGTCTCCATTTCGTAGCGTCGCATATATATATATATATATATATATATATATATATATATATATATATATATATATATATATATATATATATATATATATATATATTGTAATGAATTAATGAATCTGAGTAACGGACGCTCTGCTGGCAACGAAGAAGACGATGATGATCGGTGGCTGCAGTAGTAGCTCGCGCACGCCGTTCGCCATTAGCCAGACCTGCCTGTTAAAGCTCGTTTTGCCAAACTGCGTCTGAACCTTTCTCGACGTACAACACCTCTATTTTAAGTGGTGGAGGAGCCGGGGTTCCCATCAACCTGGAACTTCGCAATCGGACGCTACCCTCACCGTTCACCATGACTGCTCCTGGCCCTTCTCAAGCTGCCTCACCAACGACAGTCTACT